AAGTTTCTTCTTTTTTTGCAAAATAAATTTTCCTTAATTACTATATTTTAATTAATGAAGTAATTCAATTAATCCTTTGGATTCTGATGTTATGTTAATTTAATTTTAATAACTGGCAAATGTAATTGTTTTGAAATTTTAGGCTGCATCATAATTTTTAATAAAAATTCGTCGGTGATGAAAACAGACACACGTCGATAAAATCCGTGATTCTTTTACCGGAAAATTTATCATAGCGTTGTTCAACTTTTCCCTAGCAGTTTTATATAATTTTTTTAATTTAATTTTTTTTAATGAATAATTTGCATTCGTAAGAAATTTCGTTGCTCTAAATTGGGAATGAGTTTGTGTATGAAATATTCACTTTGTGTTTTGATAGTAATAATGTGTTCAGGTGATTTTGAAAAGATGAAGGAAAGATGATATTCGGTTCGTGCGTGTGTGTGTGTGTGTGTGTGTGTGTGTGTGTGTGTGAGAGAGAGAGAGAGAGAGAGAGAGAGAGAGAGAGGGAGTGAACATATTCTATGTGTTTGTTTAGAATATCTTCAATTTCCTATTTTTATACTAACAAAGGGCCCGTGTTTTTTTTTGAAATGATGAAATCTTTACAAAATATATCCCAATAAAATATATTAAAAAATACATATCTGGATTTTGTTTTGTCTTGAATTATAGGTTCAAAGTGGCCAAATCTTGTTATGAGAGAAAGGCACGTGTACTTATCTGGGATTTGTGTATTATCTATAATATAAAGGAGGATCCCTCCCCAAAAAGGAGGGAAAATTCAAAAGGTCAGGTTGAGATGAGAAGTTAGTGTCCGAGTGGATCGAGGTCACGATAGCTCAAGTGGTAGAGCAGCGGCATCTAGCCGAAGATCGTGGGTTCGAATCCCGCTCGTGCCATTGACTTTTTTATCTCAACTAAAAAACCTTAATTAATTGTAGTATATTAATTGGTCAAGCGGACCACGATATTAGTGAATTATCTATAATTATTGTATGCATTATCCATATAAAGTGGAAGGTTTATAGGGCGATAAACGGCTGAAGTCATCGCCGACCCCTGCATGTTTTCCTTCTTTTCCTGGTCTTTCACACGTATTTTGTTTTAAACTGCAACCATTTGATCCATCGTTATAATACAAAAAATATCTTCTTAATTAACTTTTGGTGGTGATTTAATTGTGTACTGAAAACGAATCACCATGGTAGGTAAAATATTTTATTTAATGGATATTTCGGATTTTTTTATCCCCCCATCAGAAATCTACATGCATGTTTAGAAAGTCTACGAACGGAGTAGGAAACTTATTCTTATTACGATTTTAATATTACACAAATATCTGTATGTAAGTACACAGAAAGAAGTTTGTTTCTTTCGACGTTGTTTCCTTGTTTCCAAGCATCCCTCTTAACAATGCTTATATATCTTTTTTCTTTTTTAAAAAGCCCAACCATTAATTATAATCCTTCACTTTTTGTTTTCTCTAATTTGCGAATAAATTTGACAACATTCTACTTTCCACATTTTATTTTTATAAACTTCGAGTAATTTACATTTTACACAGGTATGTTTATAATATTAAATTCTTAAGGCTAATTATTTTCCTTCTACACTTGTAGACTGTCTTAACATACATAAAGATAGAGTGTAGATTGCTGAGGATGTAAGTCCGAGAACTTCAATAAATAAAATAATTCTAGCTTCCATGGTGATGTGTTTTTCTGCAAGATAAACCTCTCAAATATATGGTATTTATTTGTATGACAGACCGTTGAATTTTTTTTTTAATTATAAAACTATTTGTTTATAAAATTCAACATTTACTATTTTTATACAAATAATTAGTAGTTGGTCTTTTCAGAAATGGGAAGTGGATGGATACATGCTTCTAAAAAAATATACATATTTTTTTACAAATTAGAAACGAGTTTAAATATCATGGACAACACTTCTCATATTGTAGAAACAAAAAATCAGATCTTACGATCAGAAAAACATGTACATATTTCTACTAAAAATAGTTTATAATCCATTATGTTTAGAGGGCTGATTGACCAAATTACTTCTTTCAATTAATTATTCTTTTCATGTAAAGTCTTGGTTGAAATGAAAAAGTAATTGTTACGAGCGGGAATTGAACCCTCGACCTTCGGCTAGTTATAGTTTATAATGATATGCAATGTTTTTACAAATTAGGTACTAATATTAGGTACTATTATAAAATCCTTAATTTGTTTTTGTTCTTATACTAATAATTAGTTTTGGAGTTTTTGATAAAAGTCGAAGTGGAAAAATTGTTATATTCTCTTCCAAAAAAAACCACTGACCATTCATCAAACTAGGATCAGAGAGATTAAGTCCCACTATCAGAAAAACATGTATGTATATAATTTTTAAGAAAGTATCTTATAATGATAAGTTTTTACAAATTACGAACAAATTTGTCTATTTAATTCTCATTTTTTATACTAATAATTAGTTTTGGCGCTTTTTGAAAAATTGTTATATTCGATTCACAAAAGAAAATATAAATTCATTCAACAGTCAAGTTCTTACTAAGAGAAAGAGTGTTTATTCAATTTGTAAAAAAAGTCGTTTTTATTAATGATCTGCTTTGTTTTTGCAAATTAAAATCCCATTTGGCCATAAAATTCTCATTTTTTTATACTAATAATTAGTTTTTGGGCTTTTTAAAAAAATAGAAATGGAAAAATTGTTATATGCACTTCTGAGAAAGAAATCTATCTTCGAAGATACACAAACTAGTATCAAAGAGATCAAATCTTACTAACAACAAAACACGCTTATATTTCATTTCTAAAAAAAGAAGTTTGTAATGATTTGTTTTGTTTTGGCAAATGAAAAACTATTTGCTTGTAAAATTCTCATTTTTTCTATAATAAATAGTTTTTGGCTATTTGAAAAATTTGAAGTGGAAAAATAATATATATTCATACATCTTTGATCAGTGATTAATTAATTTTATTATTCGAGAATATGAAATGCCATGATTATATAAATTAGAATCGACTTTGTATTAAAATTCTCATTTTAATATTTTTTAGACAAATAATTTTTTTTCGTTCACAAAAAATAGACTTTTTCAACAAATTATAGGTTCAAAGTGACGTATTCATATTATCAGAGAAATATATATCTTTTTTTTATTTGTAAGTAAAATTTGTTGGAAATGTTCTTTTCTTTCAATATCAATTCGTTTATAAAATCTTCAATTTGCTATTTGCACACTTATAATGAGTTTTGTGGCTTTTGGGAAAATTAGAAGTGGAAGAATTGTTATATTTGGTGCCCTCCCCCCAAAAAATAATAATAATACATACTTGTATATCATTGACAATACAACAAACTAGACCTATGACAAACTAGAACAACAAGTCTTACTATCGGAAAAACTTGTATTTCGAATATTTGTAACACGGTTTTGTTTATAAAATTCTCAATTTGCATTTCCATACAAATATTGAGTTTTGTGACTTTTTTAGAAATTGACAATTGATGAATTCGCATAAAAAATGTAAATACATATCTTTGACAATACACCAAAGCAAGTTCAAAAGTGAAGTTTTAGTACCAAAATATGCATTTTCAATTTCGGTAATACTATTCGATTATAAAATCCTCAATTTTCTATTTCTATTCTAATAATGAGTTTTTTTAAATTAATATTATTATCTTAGTCATATTAAACTAGATTCTTCGAGATCAAGAGTTACTATGAGAAAAACATGCATTTGGAGTTTTATAACACGATTTGTTTAGAAAATCCTCCATTTCCAATTTTCTTACTAATAATGAGTTTTTGAAAAATTTACAATGGAAGAACTCGTTTCACAAATCATATACCTACATATCCTTTACAATACACCTAACTAGGTTCCAAGAAATCGTCTTTTTTTAAATAGAAATCGTTTGGAATATTCTTTTTTTTTTAATTTGAGTACGAATTGTTTACAAAATCCACAGTTTTTACAGAATTTTTAAAAAATAATAAAAATGGAAAAATTGTTCTATACGTTCACCCTAAACAATACATTTATTGAAAATACAGTCAACCAGGTTCCTGTGATGATGTGATCAAAAGTGATCATGTTTTTTTAACATAAGAAAGTGTAATATCCTGAATTTACTATTTTGATATTAATAAGCAGTTCGCTTTAATTGTATTTTTTAAATGAAAATGATACTCTTTATATTCGGTTCGATAATAAAAAATATACTTTATCTTCTGTTTAATTATTCTCAATCTTCAATACTGTAATTTTATATTTAACAATATCAGAAATTTTGGTTTATACCATCTTCACTTTGCTATCCTCTTAATAATGGCGAGTTCGCGTTCTTTTTTGAAAAAGTAAAAGTCGACGAACTTACATATTCCGTCCCAACAACACAAAATTATAACACGATTATTTTTTCGACAATACAACGCCTGGAGACGTGTTTATTTACAATAAATCTTATTGTGCTGATGCGACAATGGGGAAGTGTTAAATTCTTACACAATCCCCTTCTGATTGACTGTTCCGGTTTTCGGAGCACGTATTGTTGTAATTCACTGTGTAAATTATGTCTGGATTATTAGACTAAATAGTTGCCTAATTAAAAAACGCCGAATGTTCAATAATAATCGAAATAAATAAAATTTTAAGTTTGTCATAAGTCAGTTTGTTTGAAGGGATTTCGATTGATAAAAGCATTATTAAATTTAAAAATATTATATAAAACTGAAAGAATGAAGCAACAGTTTACATTTTAGGAGGGGAAAAACTGTTTTAATACATGTATGTATTAAAAAAGAGTATAGATTTTGTGTTGAAATAGCGCACTACGAGGAATTTATTCTATTTTTTCCACTGTATGGGATTTTCATTGTTCGAGAGCTTTCCTGCCAAATTCCATGAAAGCCCAATACCATGTGTACTATACAATTCCATATGTTTATTGAAAAAAATAAAATTAAAATAAATGCAAACAACCTGTCAGGATTGAAGGACGGCTTAATGTACTTAATTTCACTTGGCACAGATATTTGAAAGAAAAAAAACTTCGTGACGGATCGACGTAAATTTTTAAATAGTCGTATGGGGGGGACACAGACGGTGAGAACAGGACTTGGCAAGTACCGGGAGAAGACTGATTCGTCTCTGGCTACCACAATATTTGCAGGAGTGGAGGGATCCCCACTTCACCTGTTGGACACCCCTTAACTTTGCAACCATCCGCGCATCCCGACCTTCCACTCACGCATTTCCAGTGCACGCATGGATAAATAAATGGAAAATAGTAAATAACGGTTGTCTCGTTGATTTTCACATATAAGACAGCGTAAAAACCCAAATTTTAATTGAAATCTAACGAGGCAAATCCATAATACACGTTTCAGGTGTGATTACCTGTAAAACCGTTATTCCGGCAATGTTGTTTTTTTTAATATGAAAACGATTTGTTTATAAAATTCTCATATTGCTATTTTTACACGAATAATGAGTTTTGTGGCTTTTGGAAAAATTGGAAGAAGTGATATATTCGGTCTTCCCCAAATTGTTACTTACAAACAGCATGTCCCATGAATAGACGTCATTATTCAATTATACTGGAAATGTTTCACTTTTCAGGTAACATCAACCTTTCACAACTGTATTCTATAAAGTCCTATAATATATTAAATCTGAAGTAAATATGTTTACATCAGTGGATGCTGAAAGGAGACAAGAAATGGGGTTTATTGTTGTTAATTGTTGTTTTAGTTCCTTAGTTCAGTCAATCGACTCGATCCTTCTCTTAAGAAGTACTAGGTCATTGGTACAATTGCTTTACTTAGGTTTGCTTTGTATCCCAGGTTATTATATGTATAGATTAGGAGACTAGGAAGTGGGGTTTATTGTTGTTAATTGTTGTTTCAGTTCCTTAGTTCAGTCAATCGACTCGATCCTTCTATTAAGAAGTACTAGGTCATTAACTGTCGTTGTTCCAGGTTATTTATGTCTTCATTGAGCGGTTGCTTCAGGCTCCAAGATGATATGGGTTGCTGTTTCTTCCTCCTTAGTGCACAACCTACAAATGGGACATCGTTGAATGTGCTTGTGTAGAGGTTTTCTCAGATGCTAGTGACTGGTAAATAATACTTTCAATCCTCTGAGTTTAGCCCTCTCTAACTGTAGCAGTGAGTTTGCCAGTTTTGATGGAGTTTGTTTTAGCATAAGCGTACTGTTTCTAGCACCTCCAATCCACTTCTCCTTTTACCTTTTTCAGATCAAGTCTTTCATAGAGGTTTCTGTCATTGTTTTTGTTATCCCGAGAATAAGTTCAGGCCAGTGTGTCGCTTTTTCGTAATCAAACGTCCCCCGTTTTGGTCCCAAGATATCAACAGGTAGTGATTTCCCAGCTTTTGGAGATTTTCGATGCATACACTGATTAATTTTGAAGTGATTTTTTACTTGATAATGCTTTAATAACTGCTTGGCTATCCTATGTGGATATTTTTTGTCCAATGTAACCTCTTTTAAGATTTTCTAAAACAAAAGCATTGATGGCATTTATTTCAGCTTGAAACACCAATGGATAGAACATTGAAGAACCTACGAGAGTGATCAGTTTTTGTTACTAACCTTAAAAAAATATTCAAAAAATGAATATAGTAAAACAGCATAACACCCAAAAGTTTAATTGTGAGCTAACGAAGGCAAATCCGTTTTATCCTTTTCTGGTCTGGTGGCTTGTAAAAACGTTAAAAACCCCCAGTCAAAATTACATCATCGCATCCAGTTATTTTTTAATTGGTTCAATAATTAATTGATGAAAAACACAATCAAAACATCTACCAACAACCCTGGAAACGTTCGCTTTTTATTAATTAATATATCGAAGAAGAAATAAGGATGAAATATATTGAGTCAAGATCTGATTTTTTCCTTGTTCGATGTTTATGAACAATGAAAAACCTTTATGACACCATTAGTTCCGTATTTTAAAAATTAATTGCCTCCTCGTTAATGTATATTTGTAAACATGTTTGTCAAAATATTATTTAATTTAAACACTTCATTGTTCAATTATTCCTTCCAAATTCGATGATCCCACATAGCCTCCCCTTGTTAGTTACCAAGAGAATGTACCGGGACGCGTTTATTGTCACACACCATAACAAATTCGTAACTTTAGGATATTATAATGCAAAATATATATTATTATCTGTTTCTAAAACTAGGTTAGTCGTCTTTTTACAGCTAGAAAGTGTAATTACGCTAATTATTTTTAAATTAAGGCACTTATTGATTTATCGCTTACAGACATTTTCCACTGTTTTGCCATGTTCTAAATTAACGTCTACAAATATTTAGATAATGTTCTAGGGGCAATATCCTGGCTTTTGTAATTAGTCGCTTAACAGGAACCGCGTGAAACGAATACCTTACGGACATATTGATTTCTTTTGGGCAGGGTGTAACTTTGTTCATCGTTGTTAACATTTTTTTAAGAAGAAAACAACTTTTTTTCCAGATGGACCGAAGCGGTAAAAACGTATCCTTTTTCCTATTAGCATAATTTAACATGAAAATGAAAAAAACAGACTGTTTTTTCGAAAACTTAACGTTGACGATGCACCAGTGGGAACCAGAATTGTTTAGATGTACGATGGTTGGTGCTGGCAACTTCACAACAAAAGAAAGGATGTTCTATGAAACCAACGGGTACATTTTAAGAAAGAAACTTATTCCTCTAGACATTTTACAAAGATGCAGGTACAAAATTAATTCTTTTTAAATAATAAATAGCGTAACTGGCTGAATTCGCCTAATTATTATTTATTTTTGCTTGGTTTATTGATGAAGACTTATCGTAGTTATGTTTGCCTGTTGAAATGTCAAAAAATACTACTTTTTCTTACATTTTTGCACCATGAAATTAGTGGAATTGATTCGGATGTGCCCGCCTCGACCACCTTTCCTTGTAGAAATGATAAATGATGGAATGAGTGTGGTGTTCAATCCTTTTTAAAAAGATAGTAACTCACAGTAAGGTGTTTTGCAACGATCCGGATTTCGAGCGCTTTAGCTCATCATCAGGTTGAAGGACTTCTACAATCACGTCTCTCGACATGAATTACCAAAGTGAACCCGCTGATACCTCCGCCAACGCGACGTTCCAATTAGCAGCTGATTTTTTTAATGGCGCTCAATTTGAACGTGCGAAACGCGGAAATTATAACACAAATAAATATTATAATAGTAAATACTTAATATTATTAAATTAATTATTTGGACGTTGGATATTATTTATGTACATATTTAAAATGGGAGGTAGATCAAAATCTGTTATATTATTAATGCATTTATCACCAATTTTACATTTTTTAATTTCAAATTTCTCAAAACCAATCTTTGTTGAAACTATGTAACACTCTTGTATTTAAATTTGAATTGAAATTATGTTTTGTTTCTTTTAGATAGTCCTTAAATTCTGAAAATTTGCTCGATTTAGGCAAGTGTTCTTTTACTCACATTTCTATTTCTCTACCGCTTTGTCCTATATATGTAATATCACAATCATTCCAATTGAGTTGGTAAACCCCGCTTTTTGCCAAGTTGTCTACCTTGTCTTTAGGCTTTGAGAGAATGTTTTTAAGTGAACTCGTACTTGTAAAAGTTATTCTAAAACGTTCTTGTTTAAAAATTTTACTAACTTTTTCCGATAATTCACTAATGTATGGCAAACAACGGAAACCTTGTGGTGGGGTGGATGAGTCCTATTATTGATTCCTTTAAAGTTAATTTTTTTATTATTTTAACTAGCAACCTATCAATAAATATTTCTTAATACCCGTTGTTTTTTGCTAAGGTTTTAATAATTTCTAATTATTTTTTACAGTTAGCAGGTGTTAATGGTAGTTTTAACATCCGGTCTATGAGCCAAATGAAACCAGCAGCCTTTTGGGACCATGGGTGGGAAAAATCCGCTGGTATCATAGTGTCTGTTGTGGGTTTTCTATATACGTTTATTAAGGACAATTTTAGGTCTAAGAAAATCCGATCGTTGCAAAACAACTTACTGTGCGTAAGAACTATCTTTTTAAAAAGGCTTTTCTTGTATGTAGGAACCTAATACTGACCTCACCCTTAAAAACGTCCACTTCCCATTTCGACTCGGGGCCAATTACAAACCGCCCGTCCGCATATTAGAGACGCGGGGTTGGCATTTCTTATGATCCCTCCTTCATGAGATAGCAATTTGTCCAAGAACGGGATCAACTTCTCTTTCCCTTAATGACAGAAATAAGAGGAAAGGACAGAAGGCGTTTTGATTGTTAATAAAACTGGACGAATGTTTTTTTTTTCTACAATTAGACCGACACCCAGTGAACTTTTGATCAATATTTTATTTTTATTTTTTTAAATCGTTGAAATATTATTCTGTCTATCAAGCTTAAAGCCCATTCGAAACGGTCTCCATTGTACTTTGAAACAAAGTCGGCCTATCAGAGAGTAATTAGCGAGAAACCAAAAATTTTATAGCTTATTAAACGTGCGTGCATATAGGTTTTCGTAAAATTTTCTTATGTCTTAAATGAAAAGTCCATTATTAGAACGAGCCCTCTCGTCATCCATATAATTAATTTAACAAAAGAAAAGAGATTTGCTTTACGCTCTTTGTCGAGCGTCCTTGGCAAATAACAATAGGGCCGACGGTTTTACTGGAAAGGATTAACGAACGGGGTAAAAATTAACTTTCTACATTATTTTCAACATCTCCTCTTTGCATCCATGGACTAGAAAATTAAAGAGTTAATTCATTCTTCTTGTTCTTATATCGGTTGGTTAAGGTTGTTCTTTACAAAAGCAAGTTTGGCTTAAAATTAATAAACAAAATGCTAATTATAATACTTTTTACAGGAAAAACATAAATTGAAATAACGTTTCATTTTTAACTATTACAAAAACAGATTACCATCTGTAGGCAATAAAAAAGAGAATGAATAAAACATTAAAATTTAAAAAATATCTACCTTCTAGAGGTAAAATAATACAAATATAAATAACTTTTAATTTCAACAGTTCAACAAAAACTGATCTTATTTTAATACAAAAGCAAATAAATAGAAAAATGTTGATTCTTAACCAATCCGGTTGAAAAATTAGATCAAATCATTATTGTTACTGCAATTAGAATATTTTTTTTTTTCATATTAGAATATTTCCTTTCTATGATAACAAAATTAGGTCAAATTGAAAAATTTCGTATTACAATATTTCAAACTTAAATAGATCAATTCAATAATAAACATTTAAAAATGTTATAATAAAAAAATATGTAGTTATTTTGTGATCAGCCTTCTCAAATTTTAACATTGATTGAAAAAGGATCGGGGATGAGGCCAGGTAGAAAAACGTAGAGCATTCCTTTCTTTGTCGAGCTTTCGGTCAAATTTATTGACATCAGGACTTTGAATTGGAAATTAAATAACAGTTGAAAGCATTGTGAGGACGCCCGTCTATGGGATGTGTTATTTTTTATTTGTATTATGTTAAAAAATTAAAATATTAATTCATTATGTTTGTAGCCATGGTATATTTTTGTAAATGATGATGATGATGCTGAACGGAGACTAGGAAGTGGGGTTTATTATTGTTAATTGTTGTTTCATTTCCTTAGTTCAGTCAATCGACTCGATCCTTCTATTAAGAAGTACTAGGTCATTGGTTCAATTGCTTTACTTAGATTTGCTTTGTATCCCAGGTTATTTATGTCTCCATTGAGCAGTTGCTTAGGCTCCAAGATGATATGGGTTGCTGTTTCTTCCTCCTTAATGTATAACCTAAAAATGGGGTCATCGTTGAATAAGCTCGTGTTGTGTAGTAGATGTTTTCTAAGATGCCAATGGCCAGTAAATAGTACTTTCAATCCTCCGAGTTTAGCCCTCTCTAATTGTAGCAGAAGTTTGCCAGTCTTGATGAGGTTTGTTTTAGCATAAGCTTACTGTTTCTAGCACATCCACTGCATGTATATCATTTAAAATGAAAAGTATTTTATTTTAAATATAACAAAAAAAGATTACTATCTGGAAACACTACAAAGATAACGAATAAAACAGTAAAATATAATTTTAAAAAAATAAAGGATGGTTGTTGTCTGGGTCTGGCACAGGTCTGGAGGGAAACGCCCCAAGCATTGAACTTAACCATCTTAATACACACCTGAGGCTAAAAGTACAATAAAAATTTGAAAAAAGTGGCAGCGTCGGTGGCCGGATTGGCTGAAAAGTTTTCATTATCAACAGCACTGTCCACAGGTGGCCCTGGGAGGACCTTACTCGTACAAGAATGGTAATCCTCACCCGATTAAAGATAGGAATGCGAGGTTGACAGACGAACTTACTTTTGGGCCAACGCGTGCAGCTTCAGAACACAGGGAAAGTTGTTCGATGTGGCTGATTGAAGGATGCATTTCCTTGGCTTTATATAGAGAGATGTTATCCGATGTGTGTGCTCAGAAAGTGATAAAACAAATTATACGAAGTTTGGATGAGGTCATGTACAAATGGGATGTGTATGGCAGTATGGATAGTATGATTTGAAATTTAACGAGTAATTATAGACTAAATTGATTGGAGACGTTGTGAATTAGATTCCGTGGTTGGGCTACTAAACCCAGGTAGGTTTTATAATTCTGAACAGGGTCACTTCTGGGGGTCCGCCTTCCGTCGCGTGTTTCTTGTACTATTCAAACGACCGAGTGATGACTGACCTAATACCGGTTCAGCATGAGTTCACCGACTCGCGGACCCAGCATCAAGGTGTCATCATTATTTTGTAAATTGAAATTTTGTTTTCATCTAATTTTGATTGTGAATCAAGTAGTCTTTTTAATCATTTATAATGTCAGTTTGTTTCCTGTCTTTTCAGTCTTAGGCAGGGATTCCAAGTCAGTCTTTTCTCCATGAAAAATGTAAAATAACGCCAGTGGTATTCATACAAGGCCAATGAAAGGTAATGGTAATCCATTTATACTGACGGGGGGGCCAGATATTTTTAAGCATGGTAAAATTGATCTGTACAATTTTCGTTGGGTTTATGTTCATTCTCCATTTTGCGAACCGTACTGTTATTCATTCAGGTGCTGTAGTAAGTGCTGAATGTTTATGTAGGGGTCCAAATTACATCTCAGAATCGTTATATTAATGTTAATGTGTGTAGTGTATATTGAAAATAGAAATAGGCCAAGTATGCCCAATTAGAAGAAAGTTTTATTTCATAAATTATTACAGTTTATATTTTCCATATATAGAAAGAAGCATAGAACTGACCTGTTTTTAGGCTTGATGCAAGATTTGATAAAGTAAATAAAAATGGCCACAAAATATTTGAAAAAAATGGCGGATATTTCTGAAAACTGACACAATTTGCGATTTTCATTTATTCATGGGAATTCCACCAGCATCTATTTATTATATATCACTAAGTGATTGACTAAGAGACAATATAAATCATATGATCCAGGGCATATCCTATGTCTTCATATCAATCGCTTTCAGAAAGTTGTAATACGAGAAGGCTGACTTTATTACCTGGAAAAAAAGTTTTAGATGGTCGTAAAAAAGAGTAAAGAAAGAATTTTTTATCAAATTGTCAGCCTGCAATAGATATTGTGAGAATGAAAAAGCAAGGAACATGATTGATGTTTTTAACTTTTGTTTGTATCGACATATAAACTATGTTTTTTTTTATTTTGTTTATAATTAAGGTTCTCCTGATAAGTGTTCACAACTTTCAGCCTCCCAAGGCTCGACAATAACCTTTATTAACCAATACTCACCGTGATAAATGTGTTCAACTCAATAATTATAAAACCGCCGAACATCTGGGGCTTTTTCGAACGTTCGTGCATAAGTTTTAAAGCTTTTCTGTCCTTGAAGGAAGCCAAATACCAGTTGTTCTGATAAGCGCATCTCGCAACATTGGAAGACTAAAAAGAAACAGGAAAAATTCAATTCCTGTTGAAAATATCTTTTGGCTACGTACGGCCTCGCTGACGCTCTGGCTCAAATAACAGTCCAACAAGAAGAAAAACAAGACGCTAGAGACCAACTCAATCAGGTTGAGAAGTCTGTTGACAGGCGTATTCTAAACGAGAAGATTTAAACTCAAAATCTATAAATTCGAAGCAAATATTTTTGCCTAAATTCAGAGCTTACCTCATTTATTTCAATAACGCTGAAACAGGATATAGCAATCACCGTTATACACTGCATCTGCTGAACCCTGCCGAATATATTATTCACTTCTTTGGTCACCCTGAAAAAGCGAAAATACCGTTTTGAACAAATTATTGATGACAGTTTGCTATAAAGTGTGCCTTATTTGTTAATCGAGAATTTTGTTTTTCCCGACAACAGCCCGGTGATTTTCATTCGAAACTTTCTAATGAATTCAGTTTAGAACACCTAATTGGCTTTAAAATTAACGCTATTCGCTAATGAAAAATGCAATTGGGCTAAATATAGAACCAAGGCTCCGGGCAATTTTAAAATACTTAAGACTTTTTTCCAGAATTCGTTGCTCGGATCTTTGCAAAGGAGAAACACAAAAAGGATGGACGAGAGTAACAATGGACAGTACCGAAAGTACCTGGTTATTGATAGAAGATGTCCTCTGGGATCCGGCTTTTTCCCATCTGGTCTTACACCCTCCGGCAAGTAAAACGTCAAATTGAGCTTGAACGTATTTTAAAATCGGTCTCTTTTAGCTCTTAAACGCTGTTGAAAGTATAACGGGACCAAACATAATCGCAACAGACTCAATTATGTTTCCTACTATTGGCCATGTATCGGACATTGCGGCGCCGTTTTCCAGAGTAAGTGGAAAGAAAATTTTATTCGTTTTTTTTAAAATAGTTTTATATTACAATTCATCAATTTGAATTAAAACACTCAGTTCCTTAGACAAAGGAAATACCTTTATTAGAACTTAAACTATTATTAATCATTTACAAGATTAACAAATATGAACATCTACTTACATGTTGAAATTTATGGTTTCAAAAATAATTAATTCAATTTAGTCTATAGATGAGGGGAATTTCCCAAAAGCTTGTCGAAGGAACTGCGTTTTTTCTTTCAAACTGGATTTATTATATCCAGATAGTTTTTTTTACGAGGGTTCGCAACAGCAGAGGTCATGCAGGGCCGCAGTATTCGAACCCGGGACCTTTACCTTACAGTGATGAGCGCTGTGTCATCGCCTAAACCGTTTCGGCCACCGACGCCCCCTTTTTATAGAGTTATATAAAATTTTAATTGCAATGCTTATTTAATGCGAGAAGTGATAGTTCCAACTCCGTACACGTGAGTAGTACGTACGTGCGGATTTGAGCCTATATAAACCATCAAAATGCAATGTTTCCTTTTCCGCCTGTTCAAGTTAGAAATTTTGTTAAATTCTAATTTTTCCTTTTTTATTATTTTTAATCTGTTTTTATTTGTAATAATCTTTTTTTTTAACTGGAATCTTTCATTCTTTTGATTGGTCATTTTAGACCCAACTGCATTATTATAACTAGGCACGTTCTCATTCATTTTCAAATAAATTATTTCGTATTTTCATACTCATTTCACTCAAGTAGGGGAATGTAGTATTCGATGATCCTCTATACATTACTCTACACTAAACATTCACTCTACTAAATACATTCACGTTCAATTGAAACAAAATTACACCTCTACCTATACAAGGGTGCCTCTCCCTGGCTCCATATAGAGAGCTAGTAGGAATGCCACCCAATATGAGAATTGTACTTGAGCACGGCAGCGAACAACTGAATCCCTTGTTTCTTGGAGAAAATGGGGTTGTTTTCTTGTATGTAATACTGATTGTTTTGTGTCCCTAGCGTGTGTTGAGAGTGAATTTATTTATTAGCCCCATCGATCCTCAATTAGATTAGTTATTTAATATGTGGAGAGGGTGATGGAGAAATATCAAGTACTCCACCTCCCTAACTGAGTGAAGATATGCAAACAGGAAAGAATGTATTTAAGAGTGAGTGGGTTTGGATTGAGACTATTGCATTGGGGGCTGAAAATACCTAGCTTTTGATAACCCCTGGAACCCAACCCCTGTGGCTCAGCCCTGACTGGCCATGTGACCTGGGACTGCTAACGCCCGGGGTGGGTGATTCTCGACTTTTCTTTTTCTCTCCAATGGTAATTTATTGTAAATTACAAAAGCTGGAATTGCCGTTGAACTGCGAGAAGTGATAGTTCCAACTCCGTACACGTGAGTAGTACGTACGTGCGGATTTGAGCCTATATAAACCATCAAAATGCAATCAGGATGTTATTATTCATTATTATTTATTCTTATTTCTTCTAGAGCTATGACGTCCCATCCCATAGTTTTGAGTTCTTTCAGAAGTTCTTCCTATTATTCTCATTCAAGCTTTTTGGTTTTTAATTGTTCTTTTTTCCCTTATTAGAATGGTCTACTTCTATCTCGCTAGTTGTGTCTGCCCCGTTTGGAGATGCTTGTCTCTGTAAGTGCTAGTCCTTACTTCTTTTTTCTTCACTAATTCCTCTTACTTGAACTGTCTCATTATTTTTATTATTATTTTCATTTGTGCTGAGTTATAATTGTCTACTCTGGGCTTTTTATTTTATCGCCTTTCTTCCTTTTCTTTTTTTCTACCGAAGATTTGTAAGTGCTCTTTCTACTTCTTATTGTGAATTTCCGTCCTTCTTAATTCATCTATTGTATTGAATTTTGTTAGTCAAGAGTTTATAGATTTTTATGATTATTTTACGTCCTACTTGAGACCTAAATAGATTAAAAAATAGCCGGTGGTTAAGGCGTCAGATTCTCGGATGGTAGATCCCGCGGTCGTGGGTTCGATCCCCACCGTCGCCTTTGGACTTTTTCTGACGCCAAAGGGGACCAGTGGCCGCAGTTGAAAGAAATTGACACAGCACTCATCAATGGAAGGAGCGGGATCAGATCTCAGCGACTCTGAATTTGGTCCCAACCCCCTTCAAAAATGAGTTTCTTCGATGGAAGAACACCGGCACACCGGGGGCTCAAATTCACACTTGTGTTGCGAGCCCCCCAAAAAATGGAGACAGGGATAAAGTACAATAAGCTGTACAGCTGCAGTGCTCAGGAGGGAACTCCTCCAGTTCCTGGTGTCCATTGTTAAAAAAATGAAACCAGAATGAGATTTAAGACTGCCAAAAATAATATTACCGCGAACTCTGAAAGTTTTATTTTCAAAATTTAAAAACAACAATTCAACGATAAATTAACAAATGCACTATCCTTCGGTGACTATTTCCCACGAGGTTTCACACTACTGGAAAATGGTTGTATGTATGAGGTTGAAATTTCGACATCAACAACGAGAATTTTCAGTTCGCAACAGTCACCATCGTGTATGTTTCTTTCAGGTTTCACACGAGGAATAACAACATCATTGCATAATGACCGATTGCTAATAGTTTTTTTTGTCCATTTTTACCGTTAATCCAGGTTTTTTGCGCGGTGATTACGATGATTCCTTTCGTTGATATCCTTCTTTACAAAGAAATAAAACTTTTATTATATAAAACTAATATTTTTAAATTTTATAAAATAGAGTTAATAAAAAAAAATCTTTTCTTACAATTTTTTATGCCATAAAAGTGCAACCCTTTGGCCTGATTTTTCAGTAGGGGAGGTCATAAAACCTTCTAATCTCCCCATAAATAATAAGAACTTGGCGTAAATTTTTAACCGCGGCCGTTGGCTATAATAAAACAAACGCGCCCTTTCCCACCTTTTCAATTTATAATAGACTCGGGCAATTCCAACGGCCTCGCCGAGTAGTTTAACCGAATTATTAACACGTTTCAGGAGTTTGACCAAATCCGAATCCGGCCGGAACACCGCATCGCCTGCACTTGGACGGTTGTTGACAACTTTAACGAGGAAAAAAGGTCACTTTCCATTATACCAGGGACTCACAAGAAAATCGCAAATCCAGAAGAATATGTAAGTCAGTAGGTTTAACACACAAATTAACAAAATTAACAAATCAAATAGTTTTTATATTTCCAAAATAAAACTAACTCAAAACAGCTTTTCTTAATAAAAATAACATTGTGATCTCCATGTTGTCTGCAGGGTGAACCTAAAATTTCATGGTGCGTTGGTCTGCCTATCCTTGCTGGGTTGATCTGTCAATTCGACATCATACAAGAAAAGCATCAAAGACACCATTAGCAAATTCCTTCTGATCATATATCCAAGATACAAACAAATACAATAACATGATGGACAAATTTTGAAGTGCAATATTTCTCTGAAGTTATGGCAAAACACCACACTCATCTACACGTCGGTTACATGCTCGCCATAGATGAAGTCAACAATATTATAAACCACTTTTTTTTTCTTTTAGCCCTCCTCGTTTCCGCCCGTAAGGAAAACCCCCACACTTCCGCATAACTTAAAATTTATGTTAAGGGGCCTAAATTGTGATTTTTGACTTAAGCCCCGTCCTATTTCTTCTCTGAGGGCTGAGAAAATAGAAGTAGGGAAGAAATAGAAAAACTTAGCTTCTAGAAAATCCCGAGGATATGACCTAATTACGACAAAAGTCAAAAAAAAATTAACAAATGATCTGCTCTTTCTGACAAACATTTATAACGCTGCACTAAGAACAACATACGTCTCAATGCAGTGGAAATATTCCGTATTTAAAATGATCACAGAACCCAAAAAACCTACCTAACATCTAAGCTAAAACTGTTAGTTTCCTTACTGTCCTAGACAAAATCCTTGAAAAGCTTCTCCCAAAAAGTTATCCCACCACCAGTTTGTTTTCCGGTCGTATCACTCCACTATACAACAGGTGCATCCCGTTGTGAACAATAAATCATCCTTTCTTGAGCAGAAACACTATTGTTCGGTCACCTCTCTCGATGTGGCTCGATTGTTCGATCGGATGTGGATCTATGTTGTGTGTTTGAAGCTCATTGGCTCCTGAACGCTGGTATTTTAAGGGCTCTCGCATTGAAACAGTCAGTGAGTATAAATATTTTGGCCTCATTCTCACTTCTAAACTTTCACTCAATGTTCATCTCAAGCGAAAAACTCATATTGCAAAATATGCAAAGAATTCAATTTGGGCTAAATTCATTTCCAATAATTTTGTCCCGGTGTGCAGCAAATACAAGCGGTTTTGACTGTTTGCCGCTCATTGTGTCCTACGTTTCCCAAGCTTGGGGTTTCCAGCGCTATGAAATAATTGAATCCCTACAACGCTATTTTATCCGTAAAATTTATCACCTCCCTTCTTTCACCCCTAACTACATGATCTACCTCGTGACCTCAGCTGAACTTTTGTTTCAATTTACATACTTACTACGTCTGCAGGGTAATAAACCTTCCTAACTACCGCCTTCCTAAGAATACAGCGCTGGAAATCATAAGGTCCAAAATATCATGGTTCTCTTCCTGGAATAACTTGTAACAATTTTTCAATTTTTCTCAACAATTGACAATTTTTCTTTGGACAATTTTAAACAGTGGCCACTTTTACACTCAAACTTGATTAACAATATCCGCACCTCTCATACAGTGAAATGTCTCCTTCATGCTCAAAATTCCTCTACGTTTTTGCTGTGCAAGGGCCTTTCTTGAACATAGCGCAAATTTCTAAAATTCCGTCCATTCAGCTAGCTCGCTGGTTTTTCAAAATTAGGCGCGAGTTACTTTATCTTAATTATAACCCGACAAGAGTCAATAGTTCCGATAAGTGCTCTCTCTGCAACAGGCAGGCTCGGGAAGATTGTTTTCATTTTCTAGCAGAATGCCCAGTTTTAGCGGAATTCCGAGCACGGCATATAGACTTGCCCACGTTGACAAGAGAGCACCTAATCTCTTTATTAAATAACCCCGAGTCTTTAAATCTAGTAAAGTTTGCGATGGAATCCTGGAACTACAGGAAAATGCTTGTTTTTTATTTCAATTATTAAATGTTTACTGTATATATCAGAGACACGCTGGTTATTTATATGTGCTTAAATAGATATGTTGTTATATTAGTTTACTCATATAGTTTTTTTCTCTCTTTTGTTTATTCCTTAAGAAGAAATGTGTTCCTTGTTTATTAAAAATTTATAGTCCGACTCCGGCAGACGGTTGATAACCATTGCCGTTATGTGCTTTTTGGTTATGTACAATTTTTTTAAACTCTCTTTTGTTTATCTAATAAAGTACTTTTTCATTCATTCATTGGCTCCATCCTTTCTCGTAATTTTAATAATAAAATCTTATCTGATAGACCGGAAGTGCCGTATCGCTCAGGACTTTTTCTTCTATAATCCCATTAAAGCGGGTGACCACAGGTAACATTCTAGGGCCGTTCCTATTCACAATATATATATATATATATATATATATAGCCGACATTCCTATTTTGCCTAACAATGCTATATGCTCGTTTGCTTAATTAACTATTCTGTCATCTAATCCTGATCCTTCCCTAGCTTGTCATGACACCTAACTTCCATTTCAACCTTATCTAGTTCTGTTCTCGCAAACAGAAAATAAAAATTATGGAAACTATCCATCCATATCATCTTAACACTTCACAAATCCACTTATTCTACAGTCTATTTCAACCTCATATACTGTGTGCTACCTGAGACTGTACGTAAAACACTAACGTGAAATCCCCAAAAAAATAAGAAGAAAAATATTAAACTGCCCCTTCTTCCATTCAAATCTAATAATTTACAATGATTTCCACAAAACATTTGTACTGGTCGTCATTAATTCCAGATACAAAAACTTCTACAAAAAGTTAACCTTTTACCCCAATCACTTTTACAATAGCTCTCTTGTCCCAACATTCCTCGAATTTCGACACGTCGGTTGTGGCCGAGAGATCTCTTGAGAGATTAATTGAATGGTTGTGAAGGAGAGTCACTGTTGGGTGACTTCTCCTATCATGTGTATCATGCTAGATTGTAACAGTCTGTTATCTGATTTGCTTGTTGTGACTAAAAATCGCAGGTGTAAAATTATATTAAATAAAAAAACGAACAAATAGGATGAAAGTTCAACATACTCGAAAACTTTGAAATACGCATAAAAACTCATAAATAGACAAATTAACGACAGTTAAATAATATATTGTTTACAACAGTCAAAACATTATACTTTTTTAAAAAGGACCAATGATCGCTATCGACTAAAACCACCGTAGACGTAAACACACGCACCCCACCCTTTACGATCTTGTAAAAGTCTTGACTGAACAGAAAACAAGACAAACACTAAAGATGGTAAAACGCGTGACAGACCAAGCAAAGATATACAGGCCAAAATGATCGGTAACAAATAAAATCGTTTTATTAACAATTAAAAAACACAGATAAAGGAAAACTCGACCAATATACAATAATAGTACTTAAGTTATAATTATTTAAATAGTTATATTTAATTTAAATGAACACCTATGAAATCAAAATTTGGACAGTTACCTTTTTCCAACAGTTTTTATCTATTTGAAAAGACTATAGAAAACAGTTATACTGTCTCGTTCTATGAAAAGAAAATGAATCAAAGAGACAATCAAAAGGTGATCAATTTTAGAGTACATTCTTCTTTGTAATTGCCTGGTCCCAAATTGTTTTCAAAACGCACCGCTTGCCCCTTCCAAGTAGACGATTTGAAGGCATGAATAATTGTTGTGATTGAATATTTTTGTAAGCGTATCATTTAATTATTTTCCAGGATGACGACGGAAAGGCGCTCTTCGATTTTCAAATCATCGATCTTGAACTAGATATCGGAGATACTCTTATTTTCCACCCGTTGATTTTCAAAGCACCAATTACTTCGGCGGTACGAATCAATTTAATAGTAAAAAAACAGATACTGTTCAAAATTCTCCTGGAAAAAAAAATTTGCAATAAATGTTATTCGATTTTTTAAATTAACGTTTAATTAAACATATATTAAAATCGTTTTTTGATTAGAATGCAATGTTTTCAGAAAAATAACAAGCAAATACTAGCGATCAACTACGCCTCGAGCAACTGCTCCATTTTTGTTGACAAAAGTAAAACCGAGATGAAGGCTCTACCCTTCGAGATCATTTTAGAGGTACTGTATATTGAATATATACATGGTGTCCCGACTGAATTTCTCTTGAACAGATAACGTCAACGAAAAGCCAAAAATTATATTTGATGTGTTTTAGTCGAGTTATAAATTTTTACCAATATTTTTTAAATATTTGTTGTTCAACCGAACAACTTTGAAATGTTAACTAAGAACTTATATATTTTACTGTTTTAAAGGATGTTTTACGCTAAAAACGATGGCTCAATTAGATTTTAAATTAGTCAAAGAATAACAAAGTTATGGCACAAAATGTGAAAAGAAATATTTTAATTTCGTTTTTATTATTATTTTCATTTGCTGTTTTGGTGCTAGTAGGTCTTATGAATTTCTCGGGATATGGGACTTTGGAAATCTCCGTGTTTTTGTTCGTTGTTCCTGATGTTCGAAACATGTAGTTTTTTAAAAATGACACCGTTTTATAACTAAAAACGTGTGTAACTACTACTAGCAGACCATCACCATCATCCCACGAAAATCAGCCCCCACTCCATTAGAATGTTTTGTTATTTTATGTTTTTCCGTGACATTATCGTTAACAATGTCTTATTTAAAAACAAGGCACAACATTTTAATTAGAATTAACAAAAAAAAGTATTGATTGCAAAGAACAATAAAAACGAAATTAAGATGTTTCTTGATCTTTCATCAATCTAAAATCTGTTTATTAAGCCATCGTTTTCAATGTCAATAAAACATTAAAACAGTTGGTAAAAATATACTATAACTATATATAAATAAATTTCAAAGTTCTACTGGCTCTGAAGTATTCTAATATTTTTCAAAATAGCAGTAAAAATTTAAAAATAGTCTAAAAAATATTAATGCGTAATTTTGGATTTTTGATAACATTATATGTTCAAGAGAATTTCAACCGGACCATTTAAAAAACATACCATATATACATACAATTTTATAAACTATTTATCTTATTAATATCGAAAATAGTAGTGAAGCAAAAATAAAGAAACGTGAAAACAGTACGAAGATTAACTTAATGAAACGCTTTAATCGAGAGATTACGATAAAAAACCAAGTCTTGTTTGTCCAATATAAACGGATTTCAACGAAAAGGGTAATTTCCTCGCAAATATTATAATAAGCTGGGCTTTTAAAATGTTTGAAAGTCGATGGACGGCCAAAATGTGGGATAATCGA